CACTGGACCATCAGGGAAGTCCCTGAACACTTGTTATAAAAAGCACACACACAAAAAGAATGTTTCAACTTGATTTTCTCAAGCAAGAGTCCAAATGATTTGGTTTAAATACTGCAATATAGGAGTGGGTGATGTATCAAGGGTCTGTTTACCTGGGGGACTGAAGGGTGAGCTCTGTGGCCCAGCTGAGTCACGGTGAGCCCCTAAGAGTTCTGAGAGGAGCAGCTTGGAGACTGCAATTCACATTCCTATAAATTTTTGTAGCAATTGTCCCAGGAGATATGTAAATTCATTTTTTACTAGTCTTCAATTATAATACATCCAAGATTTTCCGAGATTTAGAAACCATTGTGTTCAGCTGATTGTAAACTTACTTCCTTGAATGCTAAGAACTCCCCATCTCTCCCTAACCCTACCCCACCCTACCTCACCTCACCCAGGTCTAGCGTCAGCTTTGGGGAACTTGGAAACCTCTGGTGATAAGGTCAGTTGGGAATTTAGGAAGTCGTGGGTGTCGGAAGTAAAGGTGTAAAAAAACGGGGAGGAGGAATTGGTTTTGGCTCTAGGACACAGGGAACTTTCAAGGTTCTTGCAAAACCGTTGCAGCTCTTGAAAGCCTTAATGTCATCAGCGCCCCACTGCGGAATTCAGAGCTTGTCACAATTGTTAACACCTTTGACCAGTTTTTTTTATATTTAACGAGTATTGTCTTCTGAGCCTTCTTTACCCCCAGCAGGAAGGTTCTGCTGTTTTGGCTTTAGGGAGTGTTCTACACAAAGCACAGCCCCTTCGCTTGCTGCAGTCGGGGGATTTCTACCTGCTTGGTTTGCAGGGTGAGTAGAGTTCGAGGCTTAGAAGACGGGGCGCGGGGCAGAGGGCAACTGAGAGTCACAATTTTGGAAGCCCCTATGGGTTATACTGAAGTTAACTGCGCTTCAGGTTCCAGGTTGAGCACAATGACCACCTCTTCCCTGGGCAGTTGGTCCCGGGCCGAGCGCGACGGAACTCGGCTTTTGGCTTCGGTTGGGGAACTGCAATTTCGGAGTGTGCAGAGGCTGCGAGTCTTTCAGAACAGGAGGAGCCACGTCCACTCGGGACCCTGCGTCCCGCCGCGCGCCGGCCGCGTGGGGCTACCCCCGGCCGAGCCGGGAAGGGGATGCTCCTCGCAGCCCTCGGGGGAGCCCTCCCACTCTTCCCAACTTTCCCGGCCCCAGGGCCGGAGGAGGGCGCTTCTCCCGGCGGGGGCGCGCTCGGTACTTAAAGGCTGCTCGGCGGGGCCAGCGCTCGTCAGTCGGAGCGCGCGGCAGCAGCGGCGCACCGTGAAGAGAGGCGCGGCGGCGAGGAGCGGGAGGAGGGGCATGGAGCCGCCGCGGGCCTGCTGAGCACCGGAGCGCGGGCAGCCGGCGGCACGGTGAGCGCGGGCCTGGCCGACCGGCCAGCCCTCTCGGAGGGGCGGGCTGCCCGAGGAACCCGGGCGCGCCGGACTCCAGCGGTGCCGCTTGCTGAGCCCCGCGGACCCCGCCGGCTTCCCCAGCCGTGTGGGTGCTGCGTGCAGCGCCGCGAGGCGGGCTGAGGGCTGCGGCATCTCCAGGCTTCCCGGCGGCCGTTCCTGTAGCCCCCTCCCCACTGACCCCTCCTCCCTTTCTTCCTCCATCCTCTCCTGCTCCAGCCTCTCCTCCCTTCCTCCCTTGCGGCTCCTGTTTTGTGAATGGATTAGGAGGTGGACGACGGTGAGGGGCACGAGGCTGGCTGGAGTTTCTCGCTGCCCCAGGCCCGCCCGGGTGTGCGCACCTGTGCAGGCACCAAGATTTTCGGCGCCCCGGTGACTGCGGGTCAGCCGGGCCATGGCCGCAAGTACCGGCGGCCTGGGCTCCCCTTCCCTTGCGGCCTCGGAGGGGCTGGGAGGGCGGCCAGGCGCAAAGGAAAGAGCCCCTGCCCCGCGCACAAGTTTCCGTCCTGCCGCGCGTGTGGGCCCCGCAGAAGGGCACACCTGTCAGCTGGAGAGGCTACAGACTGGGCAGCCCCGCGCGGCGTCGGGAGCAGATCGGCGGCGTTCGTCTTCGGCTGGAGGTTTTCTCTTTCCCACGTCTCTCGGTGTAGGGGGAGGGCTTGGAGAGCGTCCCCAATCTCTTGCCCTTGAAGCCGGGTGCGCATTAACCTACAGGGGCCGAGCTCTCCTGGATCTCCTCTGAGCAAAGGGGGTGTAGGGGGACAAGAGGCTCCTCTCCGCCGGCTTGAGGGGTGACACGGCCCCTTGTCTGGGCAGGGCCACTTGAGGCGGAGCTGGTACCAGAGCCTGATTGCACATGGGGTTTCTGGCTGCGGGACCTTCTTGGGGCCTCTGTGATGTAGGGGTGCCAGGATAAAGCCTCTAGTTCCTGAGCGGGGGAGGAGGGGTCCTGCCCCGGGAAAGGAGGGGGCCGGCGACACTGAGGATGCCGCCTTTGTCTGCAGGCACACTTTGCCAAGGTAGCGCCCGCGCCCCCCCCCCCCCCCCCCCAGGAGGTGAGTGGGGCCTGGTCCGACTGATTCCTTGCATTTTCCGTTTCTTCCCAGCTGGGTCGTGGGAAACGGGCACGTGGGTGTGGCCCGGACCGCCTTCGTTAGAAAGCCAAGGTCTGGTGGGGGTGAGAAGCATGGCTAGTGCCTTCCGGGCTGCGTTACCCTGGTGGGCACCGCCTCTGGCACTGCACCGAGGCGGGGCGCCAGCGCCGGGCAGGTTGCTGGGTTGGTCTCGGCGCCCCCTGCTCTTTACCAGCGCGCAGGCAGGCAGCAGTGCCCGCAGCGCCCCCATGGCATATAAGCTCTAGAGGGGGGTGGGGGCGCTCCTGGGTGGTGGATGCAGGGCTTAGGGACCCGTGGGCTGCAAGCGCGTACGAGGCCCCCCTCGGCGGGGGTGGCGGGGAGGGGGAGACAAGGATGGCTGGGAATCCTGCAGAGGAAGCACACGGCAGGCTCCCGGGGACAGCGGGGCAGAGCGCCCGGAGGCCGAGCTTCCCGGAGAGGTGAGGCTGCCAACAGCACTTTCCGGACCGAAGCTGCTGGAATGCTGCTGAGGCCTGAGTCTCCGGTTGATTTAGGCACCGACTGCGTGTTCTTCACCCCTGCTGTGTGAAGGGTGGCAGGGGAACCAGCCCCCTAGCAAGAAAGTGTGTTTGTGTTGATGTGGCAGTCTGGAGTCAGTTTGAGTGAGACCCAGACTTGGAGCAAGCTTGGAAGTGAGACCCCTTTGTCTGTAAAGGGTGGGCGGTGGTGGTAACAGGATTCTCCAGATCAGGCAGGTGGCAAGGAGAGGAGATGGGGAGCTGTCCTCATCAGCCTTCCCCCAACCCCTCCCCTCTCCCACTCAGTCCTTCAGGGCTACTAATCAGTATAATGACTTACCTGGGACCTATGGAACAAGAAACCATTGGAATCCCTCCCCAGAGGAGTTGCGAAGTCCCAGAGAATTTGGGCAAGATCAGGCAGCCAGGGCGATAGTAGGGCTGTGTCTCCAGCACAAGGCTTCAAGTACCAAGTGCTAGACTCGGCTCACTAAAACACAGCTCTTTCCAGATGGGCAGATGCTAGAAGTCCTGAGTTTTCCTAACAAAACCTGCCAGCGTTTCCTGGAGTAGCGGGGCAGGGGTACATGGACAGAGATTCCATGCGGGCACTAGGACCAAGTGGATGGGGCTTCCCTGGCAGGCATCCCTCCCGGCCGCTGGGCTGCTGAAGTGGTAGCTGCAGTTCCCCCTGGTGCCCCAGTGCTGGGCTTCCAGGAGGGCTGTCCACACCCCAGCTCTCATTTCCTTTTCTTTCCCTTGTCTGCTTTTCCTGGTCACTTTCCCTTTCTTTGCTGCCTCTCAAGTCAAAGAGAAAAAAGTGAGAAAGCAGAGAACGTTGGTAAACTTTCTCTTACAGATTTAGTTGTTTTGAGAAAGGGAAGCTGTTTTCTCCTTTTTTTCCCTCAGGCACCTCTATGTTTCCTGCTCTTTCTCATCTTTTCCTTCCCCACTGTCTTCATGGTGTGATCCCCTGGTGGGTGTAGGGCATAAAGTCTGTCTACCTGCCCTTGCCCCTCCACTTCCTCCCTCTTCTTGGCTTCTCAGATGCTCAGAGCTTCCACTGGTCTCAGGCTCACCCTACCGAAGCTTGCCTGTGAGAGCGTTGGGTCAGGTAGATCCCAGTTCTGCCACCAGCTAGGTCTCTCTCAGATCTCTCTGGCTTGGGTTTAGCTAATGATAATAAATGCTGCTTTGAGTGCTTTATGTGTATAACCCATTTAATCCTCAAAGATGTTAGGAGGCTAGTGCTGCAACACACATTTTACAGGTGAATAATCTAAGGGGTAGAATAGGCACACAGCAGGTGGCAGAACTGAGTATTCTTGCCTGGGGAATCCCGTGGACAGAGGAGCCTGTGCTCTGTCTACTACTAAACCGCAAAACTCAACTACTACTAGTCTGGCTTTCGAGTCTCCAGTCTTAGTCATGCTCAGTAAATGGTGATGGTTGTTATTAGTGGATCATTTCCCTGGGTCTAGACCAGGCCCAGAGAAAATGCCCCCATGGCCATTGACCAGAGAGGCTGCCTCTCGCTGACCCACCTCTCGCACCTTCTCCCACCAGATGCCGGTGCAGCTGACAACAGCCCTGCGCGTGGTGGGCACCAGCCTGTTTGCCTTGGCAGTGCTGGGTGGGATCCTGGCAGCTTATGTGACAGGCTACCAGTTCATCCATACAGAAAAACACTATCTGTCCTTCGGGCTGTACGGTGCCATCCTGGGCCTGCACCTGCTCATCCAGAGCCTATTTGCCTTCCTGGAGCACCGGCGCATGCGACGGGCGGGCCGGACCCTGAAGCTGCCCTCCCCACTGCGGCGCTCGGTGGCGCTCTGCATCGCTGCGTACCAGGAGGACCCCGACTACCTGCGCAAGTGCCTGCGCTCAGCCCAGCGCATCGCCTTCCCCGACCTCAAAGTGGTCCTGGTGGTGGACGGCAATCGCCAGGAGGATGCCTACATGCTGGACATCTTCCATGAGGTGCTCGGGGCCACTGAGCAAGCCGGCTTCTTTGTGTGGCGCAGCAACTTCCATGAGGCGGGTGAGGGCGAGACGGAGGCCAGCCTTCAGGAGGGCATGGACCGCGTTCGGGATGTGGTGCGGGCCAGCACCTTCTCATGCATCATGCAGAAGTGGGGAGGCAAGCGAGAGGTCATGTACACAGCCTTCAAGGCCCTTGGTGATTCGGTGGACTACATCCAGGTGAGGTTGCCTCCCTAGGTGTGTGTGGACGTGTGAATGTGTCCAGCCAGCGAGGCATACTCTCCTGGGGAATTATAGGTCCAGTCAAGGTCCCTTGTGTCGTGTACTTTCCTCCCCTGCACTTCAGAAGGCAGTAAACACAGTAATTTTCAATAGCTGTCCTGGGGTCAAGAAGACCTAGGCGGGAATCTTGGATCTGCTGGTACTTAGCTCTGTGAATCTGGGCAGATCTCTGGAATCTGGGCAGGTCTGTGGATAGGTATCCCCAGAGTGGCAAACAAGTATGTATAGCATTTACCTTATACCAGACACTGTTGTAGGTACTTCGTATGTTTTAGTTCTTTTAATCCTCATAATATTCCTAGGGAATAGGTACCACGCTTATTTCTACTTACAGAAACTGGGCCTGAAGTGCAGTTGCCTAATGCCTAACTTGCCTAATATCACACAGCAGTAATGAGCAGAGCTAGGAGTTGAGCCCAGGCTGTTTGTCCTTGTGCAATACTGCCTCACCATTGGCAGAGTGGGGATGAGCCTCTTCATACAGTATGGGGAAGAGCAAAAAAGAATCATGCTCCAAAGCACTCAGATAGTTTTAGTTATAGGTTGATGAAAAGTCTCACTCTTTCTGGTATCAAGTTCTTGTCTGTAAGGCGGAGGGACACAGGTGCGAATCCCTCCCTCCCCCGCCCCTGCCCCCGGCTCAGTGCTGCAGCCATCTTGGCAGGGCCAGGACCCCAACAGACCCTGCCTTGCTTCCAGCTGAAGCGGGCATTGACACCTCCTTCGAAATTTTATTATGTTGACAAGGTAACATGGCTCCAGTTTTCATATAACAAAACCTAGAGAAAACTGATCAAAGATTATGCATCTCAGTACCAAGTGGAAACTGACACCCAGGACCCAGATTTGTGGTCCAGCATCTGTTCCTCCATCTCTGTTCCTGCCCTTCTCCACATATGCCCATCGCTTGAATGAATAGCAGCTGCTGTGGTCGCCCACCTACGTACCGGCACAGTCTTGCTGACAGCATGTTGTGTGCTCCAGTATTTAAATTTTCTATACGGTACCCACCCAAAATTAGCTTGCTGCAGGTTTTTTTGTCTTGGCTGTTTGGAAAGTTGCACCCTCGCGTAAGAGTTGGTACACCTGCCTCTTCCTGCCTTCCTAGGGCCAAGGGCCTCCTCAACACCAGAGAGGGAGGGCTGTGAGACAGGTCTTGACTCTGCAGTCCGTTTAGGGTCAAGGGGCCTCTGAGACTTGCCTGTGGACTCAGATGACTTAGAAAAAGCCCTTGAGCCCTGGCACAGGCTCAAGCCATAGTGACTGCTGTCTCTTCCCTTGAAGCACAGGATCCCCCCCAACCCTGCCCTCCCACACCTCTTCCTTTCCTGTGTGTTCCGTGGGTCGGAACCCACCTTCCTTTCAGTGTGTTCACATGGGCTCACTGCCTGGGGCAGCCCTGGGCCTGCCTGTCAGTGAACACTCTGGATTTCAGTCTGTCTTCATGAGCCCCACTGAAGGTGTCTTTCCCTCTTCAGGAGATAAGCCTGCTTCAGCCAGTGGGGAAGCCCAGGCAGCCAAGAGCGATAGCCTTTCCTAATCTTACTCAGTTGGAAAGACCTCCCTGGGGTGAAGGACGTGCCACAGTGTGAGGAATCAGAGTCAGGGCTGGAGTCGTTGTGTGACCAGCAGTGCTGGGAAGCTTGGCCTGTAAGCTGAGGAGGTTCTGGGAGTGTGGCCTGAGGCTCCTGCGACCTCCCCAGTCTGGGCCAGCACTGTAAGGGTGTGTCAGTGGGGAGGCAGGAGGGAGTGGCTGCGATGACTGCCTGGTTGCCCTCTGCCCTCCGCTGCTTGTCTGCAGCACTGAGGCTCCAGCGTGGAGAGAGAAGCAGGGCGTTGGGGTGCAGCCCCCTTCCTGCAGGCTGGCGGGCTCTCACTCAGCAACTTCAGTAGCAGAACTTGAGGCTTTTGTAGAATAGGTTCTGGGCTCATCTGTGGGTACTGTTTCTTGCTCTGTCAGGGGTCAGGAAACCAGTTCCCCTACCCAGTGGTTATCTGGGATTTTTACACCATCTCAATAACTTTCTAAAACGTAGACAAAGAGTCAGGCAATAGGGTAAGTGTTTGTAGTACAAGGTTCAACTATTAACAATAATGGGTAACCCAACAGAATCAAACCAGGAGTCTCCCATGGAGTGGAGGGTGGATGGGCAGGATTTGATCCAGGTTCTGAGCGGAGGAGCTGCTGCCAGCTTCTAGGCCCACCCGGGGCTGGAACCTAGGCGAGAACAGCCCTTGGCTCTGTTGGGCCCTAGTCTGGGAGTCCCAGCCCGCAGGGCACAAATGGCCTGGCAGCCACGCTGGTGGGGCTGCGGCTGGGCCGGATAGCTGGCTAAGAGGCTGAAACAGGGCAGCCCCGTTCGTGATGGTCCTGTGAGCAAGCTTTGGTGGTAGCCTCTGGCAGGAGCCATTTCTCAAGCCTCTGAGCAATGTCTGCTGGCCTTGCTCAAGTCACGGTGCCTGTCAGTCTGATTTCAGTGACGCTTTCCTTTCTTCCCAAGGACCTCAGAGAAATACATTAAGACCACTTCTGAGGAGCCTGGCTCAATCAGGGCTAAAGATCTGTCCAGTACCAGACACTTCTCCCTTTCTGTGCCCACCACTGAAAGTCCCCTGGGTTCCTCTCTCAGCCAAGCAGCTTTCAAGTCGGTACCTGAACTCTCCTGTTTCTTTTCACCCCTTCTATTTGGCATAGGTCTCTTTGTTAGGGGTCTGAAGTGTGTCTGGTAAAGGGGTTATGTCCCTCAGGCAGTGAGCCACCAGCGGTGGGTGGGTGGGTGTGTCTGTGTCAGATGGACTGACGGTGCCTTCCTTCTGCAGGTATGTGACTCTGACACTGTGCTGGATCCAGCCTGCACCATTGAGATGCTTCGAGTCCTGGAGGAGGACCCTCAAGTAGGGGGAGTCGGGGGAGATGTCCAAGTAAGAAGTAATCAACGATTCCTGGGGGTGGAGGGTCTGGATTCTGCTTCTTCATCTAATTGGATATACTGGGGAAGTATGCATTTTGTTTTGGAAGGGGGTTTCCTCTTTGACAGTTTCATTGGTATGGAAGGGCTCATCTGCTACTACCCCCTTTCCTGTTCTATTTCCACTGGAGGGAGGAAGGGCAGAAAATAACTGGTATGAGGAGAGCCTGTGCTGTTGGGAGGGGCACAGTGTTCTGAGGCCATCCATCCTAGAGGGTGCTTCCTTTTTGGCTGGTGGTGCAGCAAGTACCTCCAAAGTTAGACCCCCTGAAAAATGCTTCCTGGTGGGGACATGACACTGAAGAGCTCTGTGCAGTGTGGTATGAATAAAGGGCCAGATCTTCTTCCAGGGGAACTGCTGGCAACATATCATGTCTTCCCAAGCTTTCAAACTGCAGAGAGGGTCAAGATAGGGGGCTGTGGTGTTGCTTTGCTTCTTTATCAAGCCTTTCTCTCAGCCACCACCACAGGCTGCCTCCTGAGATTGAAGGTGGCTTTGGCTGCTAGAGCAACTTCACTGGGACAGTCCGTGCCTATGACAGAGGAGAGGTGGGGCTGGTGCTGAGAAGAGTTGACTGGATGTGGTTGCCTCCTCTCAGCCTCTGGTTTCCCAGCTCTGAGTGAGCTGGGACTCGTGGCCAGGAACTAGAGCAAAGGGCTAGGGATCTCAGAGTGTAGGTAGGCCTCCTGGTCTCTGGTGTCTGTCTCCTGGGGCTCTCGTCCTCAGGCAAGGAGGCCCAGAATCTCTGGTTCCCTTGCAGATCCTCAACAAGTATGATTCATGGATCTCCTTCCTGAGCAGTGTGCGGTACTGGATGGCCTTCAACGTGGAGCGGGCTTGCCAGTCCTACTTTGGCTGTGTGCAGTGCATCAGCGGGCCCTTGGGCATGTACCGTAACAGCCTCCTTCAGCAATTCCTGGAGGACTGGTACCACCAGAAGTTTCTGGGCAGCAAATGCAGCTTTGGGGATGACCGGCACCTCACCAACCGAGTCCTGAGTCTCGGCTACAGGACTAAGTATACAGCTCGCTCTAAATGCCTCACGGAGACCCCCACCAAGTACCTCCGGTGGCTCAACCAGCAGACCCGCTGGAGCAAGTCTTACTTCCGGGAGTGGCTCTACAACTCTCTGTGGTTCCACAAGCACCACCTCTGGATGACCTACGAGTCAGTGGTCACGGGTTTCTTCCCCTTCTTCCTCATTGCCACGGTCATACAGCTCTTCTACCGGGGCCGCATCTGGAACATTCTCCTCTTTCTGCTGACAGTGCAGCTAGTGGGCATTATCAAGGCCACCTACGCCTGCTTCCTGCGAGGCAACGCAGAGATGATCTTCATGTCGCTCTACTCCCTTCTCTATATGTCCAGCCTCCTGCCGGCCAAGATCTTTGCCATTGCTACCATCAACAAGTCTGGCTGGGGCACCTCTGGCCGAAAAACCATTGTGGTGAACTTCATTGGCCTCATCCCTGTGTCCATCTGGGTGGCAGTCCTCCTTGGGGGGCTGGCCTACACAGCTTACTGCCAGGATCTGTTCAGTGAGACAGAGCTGGCCTTCCTGGTCTCTGGGGCCATCCTGTATGGCTGCTACTGGGTGGCCCTCCTCATGCTGTACCTGGCCATCATCGCCCGGCGATGTGGGAAGAAGCCAGAACAGTATAGCTTAGCCTTTGCTGAGGTGTGATGCAGCCCCCAAGCAGAGCGGGAAGAGTGCAATGGGTAAGGGAGGGAAGGGGAACGGAAGAGAAGACAGGGTGGGAGGGAGAGGGAGTGCTGTTTTAGTTTCTTAATGGTCCAAAGTGCAAAGAATGGTGACTGTCGTATGGCCTGGGACAAGCTCTGCTTCGAGGAGGCAAGTCCAGTGCAGCGGAGGAGGCAGAGGAGGCACTGTTTTCAGGCCGCTTGTCTGCTGCCTCCGCACATACAGGAGGCCTCTGGGCAAGATTCCACTTCCTCCCCTGAAATCCAGAGGAAACTCAGAAGTGTGCTAAAGCAAACAGTAAGTTCCATTCAGTGGCAGCTTCTCACAGGTGAGTGAGCAACGAGGGCCCATGGGAGGGGGTTCTCTTAGTCCACCTGAACACAATCAGAGGTGGTGGGAGTACTTCTGAGTGATCTGGGCCAGCTAGTAACATGTCCCCACCTCAATCTAGTTATCAATGCAATAAGATTGTGCCTGAAATACAAGGCCCAGAAGCCTGATCTTTGGGCATCAGAAAACAGGGTCCAGGAATGGTGCTTTCTTATGTGAAGTACCTCATTCCACATCTCAGCATCCCAAGGATGAGCCAGACTAGCAGGGAGTTAGCACTGTACTGTTTTTAAGTGTGTGTGTGTGTGTGTGTGTGTGTGTGTGTATATGTTAAAAAGGAAAGCTGGCCAGGAGGAACAAACATTGATGGTGGTGCTAAAAGCCATGAGTTACATGGAGGCTGGGAGCTGACTGTATTCTACCTGGAAATTGCCCAAACATCTAGATTAGCTTGTCTGTGATCTCTTCTGAGGAGGTGAAATGTTTTGGTCATCTACCAAGAAGATCAAACCCTAATGTGATAAGAAAGGAAGTGAGGACTTGGGTATTACAAGCTGTATACTCCTGAATTCCTCTCTCAAATTCAGCTCTGAGTCTAAGCCAGCCTCCTTACTTGGCTTCCCTTCATGGTGATAGTTACCTCTCCCACCCTCCTCCTAACCAAGTTTTTCAAGGTGGCGAGTGAGACAGAGCCTAGGGCTCTCCTCGGCCCCTCTGCGGTCGGCCAGCCTGCCATCAGCATGTGGGGGGAGATCAGGAGTCTCTGACCAAACTGGCTGCAGCCTGGAGCAGCCTGGACAGGTTCCTTGGCAGCTGGACAGCACACATGACACTCAGGCTGTAGCTCTTGACAATCACCCCTAATGGAAAGCTTTTCAGCATCCCCTAAGTGAGCCCGCAGTCCACGCCGGTCATCGGTGAGACTGCCCATCCTCCTCAGTGGCTCCTCCAGGGAGTTCTTACAGCCAAGTTGTGGAGAGTAACTACTGCACCTGCTTGCTCCTGTCCAGAAACCAAACAAAGGGATGGAACTGGTATCTAAATTCTAAGGTTCTTGTCTTTTCTCACGCCTCTTGAGGATGTTTGATTTTCCTCTGCTTTTTTGGAGAGGGTGTGAGGGAAGGCTGTTTTCTACAGATTTGCAATCCACAAGACTGCTCTGAGCTCTTGGGTTTAAAATCTGGGATACTGACTTAGCCTTTGACTTAGGGGTTGCTTGCTCCAGTGTGCTCTCTCTCCAAATGTCCACTCCAGAGGGCCTGCTGACCTGTCAGAACCAGCACCAAGGTGGAGAGTAGTTGGGGTCAAGCCTCTAGTGTGCCCAGGTGCTGCCCATAAAGGAACTAGATGCACTCTGAGCGACTGGCAAACCTTGGTGCTTCCCTTCATCGCCCGCCAACTCATGGGTCTTCCAGGTGCGCCAACACTGCTGCATTGCACAGGCCTCGAGTTTCTAAGAAGACTGCTGGTTGACATCAGGCCTAATCCATGAAGGCTAGGAAGAGGCAGCAGGCATTTGCTAAAGGCAGTTGTTCCGGGCTCTTCCGTGTTTTTGCTGGCCAAGAAGTAAACTATTTTGAGCACTACAATGGAGGAAATCCGGTCAGCCAACTGCAGAGCTCAGACTTCACTAAGGGCTTGTTTTTCTTCAGCTTTTACTTGAAGGTTAACGTGGAATGGACTCCCAGATGGAGAACACTCGGCAGTCCTACTCTCAGCTCTGCCTTGCACTTAAGAGATTATCAACTTTCCCCAGGTCGAGCAGGCAGGTACAAGTTAGTGGGCTCACAACATTTGACCTCGACTGGTTTTTCTAAGTTATTTTGTACATTTTTCAGCAGCGAAACCAAACTGGGTCTTCAGCTTTATTCCCGTTTCTTGCAAGGGAAGAGCCTTTATACAATTGGACATGTTTTGTTTTTTCCTCAATGAGAATTTTAATCCTCTTTTGTATTATTTCTACAATTTGTAAACATATTTATTTTTACTTTTTTTTTTTTTACTTTCTGGTGAAATTTTTTATACTGCACTTATTTGTCAAAATAAAGAATCTCATTAAGGCTGGTATCTCTGAACTCCTCCTTTCCTCTTTGAACTAATGAAAGCTCTTTAATTCAGTTCCAAGATGGGTATTTGAGGCAGAACTAGTTTCGGCAAGGTAATTCCCATGGAACTCAGAAGCAGGTAAGTTGTCAAAGCTGCCTCTGGACCTGGGGATACAGTAGGCCTGCCTAGTAACTGCACACCTGTGGTGGCTTGGTTTTTACTGCAGAGGATGCATAGGGTCTGTGGAGAAATATTACTGAGCCAATGAGTTAGCCCTAGCTAACCAGTTAAGGCTAAAAATCAAAGCTTGCTTCCTCCGTGAGTGAAAGTATATTATCTTGAGAGGTCATGGAGGATTCTGGCCAAGTTGAAACAACGAAAAGCAGTGGGTAAACTTCCTTCCCTGTGGAACAGGTAGTAAAAAGGGAGTGAAATCAACAGGCCTCTCCTCTCATTTATTAAAGAAACAGTAAGAAAAGATACAATGCAGGAAAAACACCAACCATCCTTTCACATCAGGCTGAACAGAGCACAGTGATTTCTCCCCTTTATCCCCCCACCCCACCCCAATTCCCATAATCCCATCCACATCAGTTTAACCTTGAGGTTCTTTGATTGGGAGGACCAGTGGAGAGGGAGCTGGATGAGCAGTGGGGCCTTGGTTCTGGCTTCCTCCAAGTCCCAGGAGAGGGAAGCTGCAGTCCGTCTGGGGACACAGCGGATGCTGTATTTGGTGGCTCTCTGAAGTAGCTGCACTTCCCTGTTCTGTGTTCAAGCCCCCGAGGGAAGAAGGTATGGCAGGAGAGGATGACCAGGTCAGTGTTGCAGAAGCATGGTCCTTTCACCAACGCAACATTTCTAGAAAGCAGTGAGCTCATTCTCCAGTGGTGAGCAGGGGACTATGTATGAATTGGGACCTGCAGGCCAATGTATCCCTGAGGAAAGGTCCACAAGAACAATTCAAGAAACTAGTAAGAAACAAGGGGCAGAAAGCTGTGGGACAAAAGCACAGCAGGCTCCTGAAAGCTGGAGATTCCTTCTCTCAAGGTGGGTTCATTCCCACATGCCAGAGTCCACATCCCACAGGTAACGTTTCCTTCAGTCAAGAAAGACGCAGAGTGGGGAAAAGGCTCATTTGAACTTGAGCCCCAGGTATGTACTTCAGACTGTAGTTCCATATCTACTCCTTCACCTGCCCAGAACCACAGTGACTAGAAACCAAGGTGGTCCTGGAGAGAAAATGGTGTTTAAGGGGGTAACATTCCATTTGGGTACATTGCAGCCATTGGACCCCCTGGTCTGGGGAAAGCAGCTGGGTTTGTGCCAGGGAGGCTCCCCACTCTAGGAAATGGAACCAAAGTCTTGCTCACAGGGCCATTCATTCTTGGAAAGGAAGCTGGGTTTACACCCAGGGTCCCAGTTGGCCTTGCAAAAGGAGCTGGGTTGATACCCACGGGGCCTGCTGGCGAAGAGCCTAGGGGCCCTGGAGCTGGCCTGGGGAAGGTAACCGGACCAGGGCCTAACGGGCCAGTAGACCTGGGGAAGGTAGCTGGACTTGGACCCTGTAAGCCAGTGGCCCTTGGGAAGTTAGCTGGGTTGGGGCCTAGTGGCCCAGAGGCTCTTGGGAAAACTGCTGGACTTGAACCCTGGAGGCCAGCAGACCTCTGGAAGTTAATTGGGTTTGAAGCCAATGTGTTAGAAGACTGAGAGAAGGCAGCTGGGTTCAACCCCCCTGAACCTGTCCCCCTTGGAAAGGGATTAGCATTTACTCCCATAGGGCCAGCAGGCCTTGCAAAATGAGCTGAATTAGGGCCAATGGGGCCAGGAGCCCTTGACAGGGGAGATGGATTTGGCCCTGGAAGGCTAATTCCCCGAGAGCCAGGCCCTGAATTTGGGCCTATGGGGCCAGGAAGTCTGGCCATGGAAGATGGGCTTGTGCCCATGTTTCCAGAAGCCTGTGAGAAAGAAGCTGAATTTGCTCCTAAAAGACCTGCTGCTCTTAGAATGGGAGCAAGATCTAGGCCTTGAGGCCCAGCCATTCTTAAGTTAAGACCAGATCCTGTGCCCAAGAGGCCACCTGCTCTGGCATCCAGATTAGGGCCTGGGCCCAGGCCACCTGCCCTTGGATTAGGCCCAAGGCCTGGGCCCAGGCCACTTGATCTTGGGTTGGGCCCAAGGCCGGGACCTGGAAACATACTTGACCTCGGGGCAGGGTTTGTACCTACAAAGCCTGACCTCAGATTGGGACTCGGTCCAGGGCCCAGGCCAACAGGTCTAGGATTAGGAGGACCATTCCCAGAAGTCAACAGGACACCTGCTCTCAGGCTGGGTCCAGATCCAGGGCCCATGGGGCCACCACTTCTGAGGTCAGGACCTGTTCCCAGAAGACCGCTTGGCCTTGGGTTGGACACTGGACCTGGCCCTGGGAGACCCCCTAGCCTTGGGTTAGACAGAGGCCCTGGGCCTGGAAGAGCCCCTGCCCTAGGATTCAGAGTTGACCCTGGGCTTGGGCCCAAGAGACCACCTGGCCTTGGGAAAGAAACTGCACCTGTGCCAGTGGGGTTCATCCCTCTCGGGAAAGAAGCCAGGCCTGGGTCACGAGCACCAGCAGGGAAAGGTGCTGGATTTGAAGCCAGTGAGCCTGATGAAGTGGGAAAAGGAGTGGGGTTCCTTGGAAATGGGGCCAAATTTCCACCAAGAGAACTGCCTGCCATAAGGAAGGGATCCGAGTCCATACCCAGTGGGTGGCCTGTGTTTAGAACAGGACCCCCCTGGGGTCCCAAGGAACCGTCCAGCCGTCCTCGAGGTGGCAGGGGGGCACGAGTCCAAAGAGTTGGCCGCTCTCGAGGGAAAATCCGAGGCTCTTTCATACTTTCCTGGGGACGTTGGTAATGATGGGCTTGGGGCGAGTTTTAAAAAGGATCTTGTTTTTGATGAGTGCTGTCACCAGGTACCGGGTGCCACTCTCACAGCCAAGTGCATCACAGTCCTGCTGCCCAGGAGTGTGTTTAACAAGGACGGCAAAAGGTCTCTCCAGGTGGATGATCTTCCCGTACAGGATGTGATGCCCCACGATCAGCACAGGGGTTCCCTTCAGCAGAACAAGAAGGAGACACCTGAGGTTCAGGGAGAAGTCATAAAATTCAGGCGCCTTCCAGAGATGCTCTTAGGAGATGATGCTGGCACCTCCACTCCCTCTACCACTGCTGAGAAGCCACAACGGACAACCCACCCTCATATCCTTTTTACTCTTTCCAGCCCCAGGTAAGAGAATTTCTACTTTCAGAACCATGACCTTTCCAGATTCCCCAAAGCTAAATTACCCTGCTACTGCAGAGGTCAGGGGTAGAGGGGAGAACAAGTGGAGCTTGGCTAGACCCTGAATAACAAACCTGAGGGCAGTCCTCACTGTGGGTCCTGGGAGCACCACCTTGGTGTAGCTTGCTTTCCTGAGGCATTAGGCAGGGAAAGAAAAGTCCCCTCACCTCAGTGGTGTAATGTAGGTCTCCCAGGAGGTTTCCAGCTAATCCAGTGCTGTGGCGAGCCTCGATCTCCCCCTGTAGCTCCATCAGCACCCATTCTGCCAGGCCTCCAGCCCCAGCACTGCAAGCAAAGGGCTGGCGGTTACACTATTTTGGAGGGTGAAGGATGAATCATAGTGTCCTACACCACCATTCAAGGCCCAAGGGAACACCTTGTTGAGCACAAGTTCTTGGGAAATTGGGCAGTGCCAAGCACTGAACTCAAAACTGAAAGGCTGGAATTTGTGCCGGATGCATCTGAGGACCCCAATTCTTCCAGGGAAATTTCAAACCTATGTAGACTTGATCATTAAAGCTAAATTAAAGCTCTCAAAATTTACTCACCTGGAAATAACAATCTGCACCATGAGCTTTACGTCTTTAAAAAGCAACGGAAAAGAAGCTGTAAAGGAAAAATATATTTTTTACAATAATCATAACTAATACTGTGTGCCAGGCACTTTCTAAATGCTTTAGACACATAGAGAATTGCTTCAGATCACCAAGGGTCAACTACAGTGTGGAAAGTTAATAGGTACCACAGTTGTGTTCAAGGTCACATAGCTACTAGTCAACCAGCCAAGATTTGAACCCAAGACATATACTGCAGAGCCCACCCTCTCGTCAGTATGCTAACTTGCCTTTCCTTTAGGGGCATTATATTTTCCATTCTGTGTATGTCTAAAAAACTAAGGAATTCTTTTAGATTTTACTTTTTCCTTTGGTGATGGTGTAAATGGATGTCTGCCACTTTGGTTATATTTCAAGATTTAAAGGATCCCTCTGAACTAAAGGCTGAGAGAACGGAAAAGGTCCTTCAGACTTTAGTGAATGGTAAGCTTATTTCTAACGTGATTTTCATCAAACACATTGCCCATCTTTCATTTAGACACTCAAACGACCCTGACGCTTAATCTTTCATTTTATACAATGGCCCCATCTGGTGGCAAGTTTGCAGTACTCTACAAGAATGAGTTAAAATGGGACATTTTTGACTGAAACTGGCTTCTTATACTTGTCTTCCTAAGAAAGGTAGATTGATGGGGGGACTTGAAGGGATGCGGGATCTAAACTATGACTTCTGTACAAATCTTTCCAATGAATAGATGAAGGCTAGTGCAAGGTTATCAGATCAGTGTTTACAAACTGTAGAACAAGTTAATAGGTATTTATAATTGTGCTCACAATTAGCAAACACCTGCTTAAACAGGTTTCCTTATTGACATGTCAATCTGTTTTGAATCTTCACGGAAAAGTATCAATATACTGCCAGCATCCCTGTATGACAACAGAACCTTACTCTTGAGCACCAGACACACTTTGGAATCATGAGGCTGGTCAATAACTGGACTTTAAATATAAATAGCAGCTAGTATTTATTCAATGTTTACTATGAATCAGATGCTGTGCATATATATTATAGGTGGTATCTCATTCAACCACTGTTAGACAGGGACTTACCCATATTTTGCAGATAAAAGTTACTGAGGGATATACTCT